GGGGGGGAGGGGAGCTATGGGGAGAAAAAAAAGGAACAACTGTAATAATCTGAACAAAAAAGATTTATAAAAAAAAAAAGAAAGAAAAAAACTTGGGATTTAAAAAACATACTAATTATTTTGCAATGTTTTTTTATTGAGTTATTTATTATGTTTTTTGTGTGACATTCCACTAATACTTTTCTTTCTTTAAACATCATTATGCTTTACATAATAACGAAGTTAAAACATTAAGACTGTCCCATGAAGAGTGCCTTAGAGTCTGATTACAGCTCACACCCTTCAGTCTGTGGACCGACGCTCTATCCACTGAGCCAAATCAGCCAGGGCTACAGCTTACATCCTGAATTAGTGGTACGCCCAAGTCACAGGAAGACATGGTCCAGTTACACTACTTTAAAAGGCACATACTATACATGTGTGATTCAAATGTTTATTTTGGTCTAGAACACTACGGTAACAGAAGGGTCAATCATGTAAAGATTTAAATGAATACTATGTCCAAGGCACTGGTGAGATACACAGTTGTACAAAGCTGGCAGATATAGTCCAGCTGGATACTGAGAAGGAAAAGAAAATGTGTTTGGCAAACATGTTTCAATCTCTTCTACTAGAGTTAACAAGAGGTTTTAGGAAATTGCAGGCAATGAAGGTAAGGTGAAAATATGTGGTCTATTATAACTGCTAGTTAGATGAGAAAAAAACTGAGTAAATTATTGCTAAAACAACTGAGAAAGGTGAACCATTAGTTAAAAAAACTCATAAAAATTTTTTTAAACTTAATAATCATGCTACATTAGAGACGTCTATACTTTGAAATGTTATGTTTTATATATTGTAATGATCTATTTTTTGTATACAAGAGTATCCTATTATTAATAGAACAGGAAGTTATACACTTATTTTCTCAGGAGTGGCTAGAGATACTTTTACATTAAATTTAGTATTTTTTTTCGACTGATTACCTTTGTAACCAATATGTATAAATGTATGTATTTATATTGTTGACACTATTACAGATGTCCCCCATTTCCACCCCCTTTTCCCACCCCCACTCAACCCCCCTCACCCCCACCTTCTCCAACTGTTGTCTGTGTCCATGGGCTATGCATTTTTGTTCTTTGACTAATCTCTTCACCTTCTTTCATCCAGTGCCCCCCACACTCCCTCTGTCATGTAAACTCAGGATTGGTAGAATAAATGTAAACCCCACAGTCTTCTTGGCAAAAGGCTATGGTAGATACTTATAGTGCATTTTTATCAATGTGGCTCTCTTACCTGTTTTTCAAAATGTAGTTATTACATTTTAACCTACATTCTGCCTCTCCTAGCCATATGATAAATTCACTAAATAGATCCACAAATTATATCCATCAGTTATGTCCTTAGGCTAAATAAAAGAGGTCACCTAACTTACTTTGGTCCCTCAGGTAATTTACTCAGGTCCCACTATCTGACATCAAAGTCAAGTTTATGAGAGAAAAAACACCAACAATGCAAACCCCAGTAGTTGGGAGGTGAATTTAAAAAGCTCCCAAGTCAGTACTTTTCCTCAAATGTTAAATAATTCACTGTGGCATTATAGATACAAGCCTCCAGCAAAAGTTACACTTGAACAATTAAGAAAAGCAGGAGCAAAACAAATGAATTCAGGGATGGAGAAACAAATTAATGGTTTCTCATAGTACTATGCCAAATTACATTTTCACATTAACAAGTGTATCAACCACCCAAGCATCACCAATGACATGCTGGATCAAGCTTAATTACAGAAAATAGCCCAGAACCAGGATTATTCCCTAAATGTAATTATGGATTCTATATACTTGGGTATGAAATTCATTCATATTATTTGGAAAATTTTTATATTCATAATGCACCACCTACTCTTCTGCAAAGTTCTTTTACAACTGCTGTGTTACAATGACCGTCTACCAAATGCATATGTTCCTTGAAGGCTCAGAAGGTGATTGTAGGTGTTTCTTGGAGACTAGGTAAACACATGTTCACATTACAGTGCACTTGTGTGCATATAGATAAGAGCACCTGCATAGAAAAGGTAACATACTTTAGAGTAAAACCAGGATTTAATTCCCAACTCTATCGCTTACTACTTAAAGGATTTTAGACAAATCTTAGTCTCAGTATTAACTTCTTTTTCTGTAAAACGGGGATGATTCACTTATGCAACAAATATACATTGAACACCTATTATGTGTCAAATAGTACTTTACATTGATTATTTTAGAATCAGAGGTAACAAAACTTGGCTGGTGTTCATTGGAGGTATGTATGGTTACCCAATTGAAAGAGCAGACTATTAATAAAACAGGATCAAAATCAGCAGACTAAAACCCAAAGGAATTCCCAACCGGAGCTAGACATACATGGGATACAAGGTGATGTGAAGTCTATTTGCTTTCCAGGGATTATCAGGTTATTGGTATTCATTATGGATCCTTATGTGTTTTCTCCAGTTATTTCAACTAAACTCAGTCAAGAGCTTTCTACACAATTTGTAAGGTAAAGTTTTGACCTCTAATTCAAAAGTTTGGGGGAGGGATGTAGATGTATTAAAGATTTGCCAAGTTGCTTTCAATTCAGGAGTTTTTCAAAGAAATACTTACAAGAAGACCTTTTTGGTATAATAATTTAATGGTTAGTCTAATCTGCAAGTGAAATAAATTATTTGAATCAGACTAGAAAATCAGAATGGAATCAAGATAAACATACATGAGGTTTAGAAGGAAACTATAGTTAGAGACTCAACTTTCCTCAATTGAAGTTGCACCACCCTAAAAAAGTAACATGACAACTCTTACCTACAGAATTATTGTAAGGACAAACGGGATAACTGTCGCCCTGGCTGGTTTGCCCAGTGGTTAGAGTGTCAGCCCTTAGGCTGAAAGGTTTCGGGTTTGATTCCCAGTCAAGGGCACGTACCTTGATTGCAGGCTCAGTCTCCCCTCCACTCCCCACCCTCCAAACTAAGAAGAATAAATGGAAAAAATATCCTCAGATGAGGATTAAAATAAAAAAGGATAACTGTCATAAAAATGATTAGTAACCTACAAAGCACTAAAAAATATAAAGTATATCAGAGTGAGTAGAAACTAAAAATGATCCCAAGGAATCTCTTTTAGTGAAGATACTTATATGCATAAATAGTAAAAGATCTGCAAAAATTATCCTGGCTGAAGAGGGGTCATTTGTAGCTACAACAGTAATAAATTTTGCTTGCTTCTTAATGATGAAGGATCACTGTACTTCATAGCTGGCAAGCAACAGTCATTTCTAAATATTATAGAAGAATAAAACATTTATGGATAAGACCACTAGAAATAAAAAAAAAATCTAAGATGTGGATTGATTTTTAAATTAAGTCAATAAGATATATCAGCCATAAGTCAAAGTTTCTAGAAATGCTTCTTTTTGGGAGAAAAATTTCCTTGTTCCCCATGTTTTTAGGGTAGTTTTAATTTCACGTGCCAAAGTTCACCTGCAGATTGTTACTTCTATAGAGAGAGGCTTTTAACACAGTGCCACGCACTCTATTGAAATTAAATAAAGTTATTGCTGATATCTTACTAAAAAAATGCAGTATTTTTTTAAAACAAAAAATTTAAAGTTTGTTTTATATGCAACCAATGTGATTAATACATGCTAGTAATTAATTTTTAATCTAAATGTGTGAGATATAAAAATCTATAATTTCAGTAACTTTAGTAAATATATTCACCATAAAAATAAGCAAAATAAAATAAATGATATAGCACTGAAGTAGACTATTTCTGCTAAAATGGTACTTGCATCAATATTTTACAACTACATATCAGTTTGAGTAGGTTGAAAAAATAAAAAATCCTAGACTAAGGGACAAAGAGGTCTCTACAGAGACATAATGATACCATGATGGGGAGGATGGGTAGTCATGAACAGAAAATTTTAAATGCTCAGGGTAGTAATGCAAGTATTTAACACATATGTATGGGTAAATTTACCAGAGTTATGCATGGAGCAGCCAAGACTATCAGATCTTTTAACAATAAAAATACATATTTTAAACCATACAAATATTTTAATTTATCTTTGAATCAGAATGACAAAGAACTAAATAGCCATTTCTACTACCACTGTTCAGTAAAAGAAAACATAATTTAGAGAGCAATGTCAAAAGACTAATTTCTTACCATGAATAGATCCCACTGACCATGTCATAGTTCTGACATGAAGCATTCACACTGCTGGGCCCAGCTGCTTTAGAAATAAGTAGCACCACCAAGCCCCTCAATTGGAGGTTATTCCGGCTATCTTGTACAAGCCCCCTGCAACACATAAATAAAAGAATAAGATTAATATACTTTCATAAGATCAGTCAGATCATGTTAGCAAATTGCTGCAAATATGCTCATAATTCCAACATTAGACAAAGGAACGTGTTGAAAATAAATAGGATTGGGCCCAGCCGGCATTGCTCAGTGGTTGAGCGTGGACCTATGAACCAGGAAGTCATGGTTCAATTCCTGGTCAGAGCACATGCCTGGGTTGTGGGCTTGGTCTCCAGTAGGGGGCATACAGAGGGCAGCCAATCAATGATTCACTCTTGTCACTGATGTTTCTATCTCTTTCTCCCTCTCCCTTCCTCTCTGAAATCAATAAAAATATATTTAAAAAAAGAAAAAGGATTGGGGGAAGAAAGAGTGAATAGGAGGAAACCATGAGTTCAGCAAACAACTGGAGAAACCAATGGCTGGTTTTAAAAGTGACAATCTGACACAGTGAGGCTTGATGATCTGGCTTTCTCCTCTTTCTGGGTTTTCCCACTGTCTATACCCAACCTCACAATATTAACCATTTGCTCTGATAACAAGAGGAACCCACAGTTTTAAACTGTTTGCGGTAGTCGACACCAACTGAAATAATTACAAACTTTATGACTTAGATAAAGAGATCTTATTTGGTGATGGTGGTTGACACAAACATTTATTTCAGAAGTAAAATGAAAAAGAATGCCATGAACAAGTATCTTGCCATTTCCTACCCTATCTAATAAAAGACAAAAAGGGTAATTAACCATACCTCCGCAACGCTTCCCATTGGCTAATCAGCGAGATATGCAAATTAACTGCCAACAAAGATGGCGGCCGGCAGCCACGTAGCTGAAGCGAGCAGGAGGCTTGCTTGCTCCAGTGATGGAGGAAGCCAAGGTTCCCCGCCTGCCCCGGCCCAGCTCTAAGCTCCGAAAGCAACAAAGTTTCAATTATAGAAGCCAAACAAAGCCCAGAATTAAAAAGAAAAAAAGGAGAGGCTGGGAGCTTCAGTCGCTGGCCAGCCTGAAAAGGGCCCTCAGCCCCTCACCCAGGCTGGCCAGGCACCCCAGTGG